TCAGGCAAAACACCTCTATGTTTTGAAAGGTGCAATAATAGTCACCACCTGACTGAAACCCATGATATGGGATGGTTGCCACCTCAACAATGTAATCAGACCCTTCTTTCAACAGACCAAATGTGGGTAGGATGGCAACACAGTTTGCAAAAAATGGATGCCCACCCTTCCCCTTGGGGATGGTTACATGCTTATGGAACTCACGACTGGTTGTATTTACTTTATAATTGGACTTGAAGGTGTACATGGAGTTGTCCTTATCTCCTGGGACTTATCCTCACCAAATTGGACTCTCTCCCGTCTAACTGGGAAACTATAAAGGCTCACTATATGGCAACAAAAACAGGCTTCTTGGTGGTTCTACCTGCTGGCTAGGTTTTCCCCACAGGCAGCCATAATCAATACCAAGTTACAAGTTAAAGCCTTAGCCAAGCACATGGCTGCAGCTTTCAATAATACACGCCATGTCCTTACCCTCCTAACTGAGGAAACTTCTCAGATTAGGCAGGTGGCCTTACAAAACCATGCGACTTTGAACATTTTAACTGCAGTCCTGGGGGAACTTGTGCTTTGATCAAAACCGAATTTTGGACTGGGTGTGGTGGCTCATGCCTGTAATCCCAGTACTTTGGGAGGCCATGGCAGGCGGATCACCTGAGGTCGGGAGTTTGAGGCCAGCCTGACCAACATGGAGAAACCCCATCTCTACTAAAAATGCAAAATTAGCCAGGCACGTGGCACATGCCTGTAATACCAGCTACTCAGGAAGCTGAGGCAGGAAACTTGCTTGAACCCAGAAGGCGGAGTTTGTGGTGAGTCAAGATCACGCCATTGCATTCCAGCCTGGGCAAGAAGAGTGAAACTCCGTCTCAAACAAACAAATAAAAAACAAATGGTGTGTGTGTGTATCAGACTATTCACATAATATTACTAGGGCTATGAAAACTCTAGACACTCATATCTCTGCCACTGATGCACTGTCAGTTGACCCTGTATCAACTTGGTTCCAACCACTACCCAGTTCTTGGAAGCCTTCCTGTTTAGTTTACTTAGGATGATTTTACTTATTTTGCTTTACTGTTGTGGAATATTTTGCAATTGTACTCTTTGTGTGGGAAAGCAAGACTAGCTTACTCAATGCTTTCTTAAGTTGGACACATTGATTTTCCGGATTTCTCCTTTTGCTGGGACTCATTTATGAACCTTCACCATACCGATGCTTTCTGACTGAGTTCCTCTCTAACTTGAATACAAGAGATTCTAACAGTTAGGCAGGAATATCATCGTCCCTGTTCAGCTTAAGGAAGTTACAAAAGACTAATCTTTGTCTATCTGCCACCCTTAGGATTAAGGGTCTTCTTGTAAAGGAAGTGGGGAAATATGTCAGAGGCATTCAAACTAGAGTGACTCCATCTTAAGTGAGGGCTAAGAAAACGTAAGACTGGGACTTGCTGGGCTGCATTCCCAGAAAGTTAGGTATTCCTAGCCTCTAGAAGCTTACAGTTAAGGGAACAGATTGATAACATGTACTAAACAGACCCAGGCTTAGGAGTTTCCTGATATCCCAATATCTAGAGAACAGAAGCATTCCTAATTTTGCTTTAAAGATACTAATATCAATTCTTGCAAAACGTAGTAATTAAAAAAATTAAACCTTCGTCACAAACTCTTGTAGCAGAACACATCTCCTCTTGATCTTTTTTTATCTTATACATAAACAAGCATCGTACCTAGGGTGAACACGTTCCTCCTCTTACTTTCAGGAACGTCCTACTTTGTCTATGGAGTAGCTATTCTTTCACCACTTTACTTTCTTAACAAATTTACTTTCGCTTTGCACTGTTGACTCACCCTGAATTCTTTCTGCTTGAGATCCAAGAACCCTCATTTAAGGTCTAAACTGGGACCCCTTTCTGGTAACATCTTTCTGGCAACCATGAAAGGAAAATACTGAGGAGACCCCCAACCCAAAGGAAATAAACTGAAGTACCAATTAGCTGACTTTGGTTAAGTGGTTGGGTACCCGGGTAAAGGATGGGATTGGGTTAGAGGCCCAACTTAGGGGAGTTAGAGTCTCCTCTGACAGAGAGAGTTAAAGGCCCCTTTTAATAAAAGGCAAGGACACTTGACCGAACCTGGGTTCCAGGCCCAACTTTGGAAGGTTAGAGTCCTTCCTAAGATTTATGGGGTTAGAGGGCCCTCTCAGCAAAGTTCCTCTTGGCTAAGAAGAGGTTTGGCGCCAGGGGATGTTAGCTGCTATGCTGTGTGTATTTATCTGCCTTGCCTCTTTGCTACATGAATCAATTTTTTGGTCACTATCTCTGCTTCACTGTCATTTTCAGGAGATTTCATTTAATTGGTCTTAAGAGATTTTGACTTTCTGTTCCCCTATATGTCTCCTGATTTACATCCGTTTGCTTGTGAAACATTGGGAACAAAAACACTGAAGGTTCCATCTCTAAAATTGCTGATGGAGGTTTGGCATTTAAGCAATAAGATTACATAGATGTGACTATGTTTTGTTTCTTAATAAACTTGCTTTGGTTTTGCACTGTGAGCTTGCTCTTAACTCTTGTGTGAGGTCCAAAAACCCTCTGTTGGGTCTGGATCCGGACTTTTTTCCGGTAACACATTGGTCAGGAAACTTCAGTCACTGTGGTCATTGCTGTTTCCTGCTGACGGCCTCTCAAAACTGTGATGTATCATGTAGTATTATTCCCCTACTTCCTTCACCCTGTGACCACCACCTCAAACTGGCTTGTGTCCACCTTCCTGCCATAACACTTTCTATAGGAGACTGCCTGATACTTGCAACTTCTCGGCAATTTGGTGTGAAAAACACAATTTTCATATCTACTTGATCTAAGATGGAGACCCAGACAATGTCCATGGAGTTGGTCTTAGGACCATGTTTCCAAAGCCTCCATAACATTTAATCCCTGCAACACTTCAGAAGGCTCATTCCGTTGTTATCCTCATCCTATAGAAGGGGAAATGAGGTTGAGTGAAGTAAAGAAACTTGCCCAAGATCACAGTGACAGAGCTGGAATTTACTCCAAATTCAAAGATCCTTTGAAACTTGTCTTTAACCACTATGTAAATAAAAGCATCTCTTTTATTCTTTTCATGTTCCCTGTTCTATATTAGCAAGAGCTAAGTAGCCAGTACAGCAAGCTCCAATGTTAGAGGGTGAGGACTTTGTCTAGGTTTAAGGAGTGGTTTTATTGAACCCTTGGGTGCCACTTGTAAACATTTTCCAGTGTCCTCTAACTTGGGGTTAGGGAGTGAAGACTACCATTTATGGAGCTTCTCGAATGGATTGCATATTTTACTTATATATAGTTTACAAATATTCTTCTTTCTCATCTCATTTATAATTAACTCACAACCTTGGAATTATTAAGAGATTATTGTTTTAACCTTTTTAGCTGTGAGAAAAGCTCACAGAGGTTGTTTCTTGCTACTTAAAGGTTGTTCCCTTATTTACCCAGCTACTTGGGACAGAACTTGATCTCAAGTACTGAGGCTGCCAGCCTCACCTTCTTGCCTGTGCTAGAGGCAGTTACCCAGGGTTAAGAATTCCTGAATGAGTCCTGAATCAGAGACAAGTAGATACCTCATGCATGCACCATTGTCCTTCCTTCTCAGGTTGGGAGTATGGTTTCTTTTAGATTATTGAGGTCTTTCTTCTTTTGACATGACAATTGTGTTGCTGTCCTGAAAACCTGGCATGCTGCTATCATCCTGGGGCAGCACTGAATACAGAGTTCCCCAGAGGGCAAACGCTCTATGAGGTCCCGTCAAAATTCCACTAGGAAGGATGCAGACTAATGCAGTTAAATCTTAAAAGCATTACATTTGGTATATTGCTATAAAGGATTGAAACAACATTAAACTTAGTGCTAGTTACTTCTATCTGAAGGTTAGAACTTTGAGTCCAAAGTTCAATTAGAAGCTTCCACAGGTTAAGTATTCAGCCACTCACGTTTTATACTTCTGTTATGACACAAACTACTTGAGTTTTGAAAAACAAAATATTTTAGCCACCATTTTATTTACAACTTCATTAAGTTGTCAACAATTATATAAAAGATTATTTAGCAAGAGCAAACAAATGAGATCCCTTGTTAAGATAACTACAAGAATCTAATTTTTTTTTAAGTGAAAGCACGTTTCTTAAGAAAGTAAAGCAATAAAGAATGGCTATTCCATAGGCAAAGCAGCAGCCTGAGCTGCTGGTTGGCTATTTTTGTGGTTATTTCTTGATTATATGAAGGGGTGGATTATTCATGAGTTTTCTAGGAAAGGGGTGGGCAATTTCCTAGAACTGAGGGTTCCTTTCCTTTTTAGACCATATAGGGTAACTTTCTGATGTTGCCATGGCATTTGTAAACTGTCAGGGGGCTGGTAAGATGTCTTTTAGCATATTAATGTATTATAATTAGTGTGTAATGACCAGTGAGGATGACAGAGGTCACTCTCTATCTTGGCTTTGGTGGGTTTCAGCTGGCTTCTTTACTATAACCTGTTTTATCAGCAAGGTCTTTATGACCTGTTTCTTGTGCCAATCTCCTATCTCATCCTGTGACTTCAAATGCCTAACCTACTGGGAATGCAGCCCAGTAAACCTCAACCTCATTTTACTCAGCCCCTATTCAAGATGGAGTTGCCCTGGTTAAAACATCTCTGACATATTTCTCCCCTCTGTATTTTTAAGGAGGTAAATTTGAGTAGTAAGGAATTTCTTGTAAAAATGGCAATATATATCAGTGATTCTCCCATCAGGGACAAGACCATAGTTTGGTAAAGCACATTGTTTACTAGGTGAGAGCCAAGGGGAGTGACAGCAATCACCACATAAAATTAGGCATAATTCATTGTTTGATTTATGTGTATAGCAGATTGAAAGCCCAGAAAAAAAATTGAGAAATAAATATTGATGTAAATCATCAGATTTTTCAGCAAAGATAGTCCTTGTTTCCCCCAAAATAAAACAAACATTTTATATTTTTAAATATTTTATTTTCTTGTTCTTTGTGAAAACATCAATAAATATCGAAACCTCTCTGTTCTAACACAGAGGGAAACACTGCATAATTAACATTAAACAAGGCAGTATGCCTTACAAGAAAGACATAAAATGTCCAAGGGATATTTAGAACATTTTAGTTCTTAAAGCTTCAACATGAGAAATGTTGACCACACCCTGTGAAATCATTTCAATAAATAACAACTGACATTCATCTTTACAGTTACAAAAATAGATACACATACATTCCCCTGCCCTCACATTGATCTCACTGGCCATTTTCTTGGATCCCCCAGCCTCTATTACAGTGGCTGACATTTGATATGTCATCCACTCAGAAATATTAACATAATGACTAGAGAATATCTGCAAACCTTCTACCTTCAAATTAAATATGAATCAGGATTGAACTAACTTGGGTTTAACATAAAATAAACAATAAATATAATGGGAGAGTGTGCAAGTAGATTCAATCATAACCTTATTTTACACGTAAAATATTAACATAGAATCTTCTAAAAGAAACAAACAAATAAATAAATAAATAGAAGACTTCTCCTGAGCAATGCTCAAACACATTAGGCTCAATCCAGGTGGCCTCTGCAGCTGAGTCTCTCTTTCCTCTTCTGTTTCTGTAAGGGCAGCTACGCCTCCAGGAACAGCCATCAATGAGCTTCCTCCTTCCTTCTGGTCAGTTGGATTTGCCACTGTAATGAGAAAATGGGTGCCCTGAGTAGGTGCTCAGGAAAGCTGATTGCACAACACTCTTCTCCTGTCCTGTTTCCCCAGACTCTAGAGTTTTCTGAATGCAGTTTCCCCAGCCTGGCACCCAAGCGGCTACTGCCTGTGATAGCTGTGCTGTGTGGCAAGGACCTCTAGGCTTAGGAATGGGGGTTGGGGGCAGGCGCGGCAGTCTCCACTGTATTACTCGCTGAAATAGCCAGAGCCTATTGCTCTTTCTCATACTGGGCCTCACTTAAGCCTCAAAGCAACCTCATGATGTAGCTACCACTATTTTCCCTGTTTTGCTGAGTCTGAGATAAACTAAATAATATTGTCTTTGAGTGACATGGCTAATATGTGGTGGCAACCAGATATGTACCCAGTGCAATATCATTGTGAAATCTCTGCACTTCATCCCTAAACTTTTACAAAAAACCAGAGGATCTGCTTTTCAGGTCTGAAGTTCAGTAGGAACTAGGGGAAATGAAGCCTGTGTTTTTTAACAGGTGGGAAACACTTCAGCACAACCGGCAAACTTCAATGAAAAGTTTCATGAAAGCAGTTTTATCTACATTGGCTAAAACGAGGGAAGAACCTGGGTGGTGACCCCCGGCACTGGGAATATCCTCTGGCACCAACGCAGGTTAATAACCTTAATGGCAACTTTGTGAAAATTTTAATTTTTTCAGTCCTGCAGCTAACCCTTGGGTTTTCCTGATTGACTTTTTAGGGAACAGATGCCGGTATTTCTGACCAACGGCTCCTGTCGCCTGTGTACATGGAAATTACAACTCACTTGTTCAGCATCTTTCCGATGATTTTCTTAACCATGGGGGATGCAGGATTGAGACAAGCTTTCTGCCCATTCTTGAGTGTGGCTCTGCAGAGAGAACGGAATCTCGTGAGACAGGAGGTCAGGCTGAGGACAGGGTTGGGGCAGCGGGAGAGTCGGGGACCCCGGCGGTGACAGCGGCAGCGATTGGCCAGACTTACATGACTTCGGTTTGGGCGCAGTGGGGTCCTGGGGCCTTTACATTCACACTTTGGATGTTCTTGGGGTGAATTCCGTGCAGGGTCTGCAAGCACTGGCAGCGCAGTTCAGTGACCAGGGACGCTCCTAGGGAAGAAGAGACTCGTTGATTGAGCGGGGCTGTCGGCGCCGGGCGCCCATCCCAGCCGCTTCCGGCCCGGGGACCCCAGGGCTCCGGGACCCACCTGCTGCGCGCCGGCTGGCGGCCACCAGGAGCAGAAGCAGCAGCGCCACCCGCAGGAGCCGGAGATTGCTAGGGGCGGTGGAGAGAGCGGGGGAGGCCATGGGGCTCAGCAGGCGTTTCGGGCGGCTGTGCGAGGAGAGGGAGAGCTGGCAAGGAGCTGCTTGTGGCCTGGGCTCTGTGGCTCTCTGAGCATGGTGAATCCCTTTTATGCATGGCTGGGGCTGGAAAGCCCGGAGCCCCGGGCCAGGGAAATTCCCGGAGATCCAGATCGATCCCGAGTCCGGAAGGAAGGCGCAGCCCCGCCTTTGGGGTGGAGTGGGGTGGGGGCACTCACGAGTGAAGGCCAAGTCTGGCTGTCTTGCGTAACTCCCGCCAACTGTGGAATGTTCGCTTTCTGCTCCAAATCCCTGGAGGGGGAGCGAGAGCCCACCGCTCTCCGAGATACCGAGATTGCGCCTGCGAGGGGCGCTTCGTGAACCCAGTACAGTGCTTCGCGGGTCTGATCCCTTAGAACCACGTAGGGACCGCGCTACATCCTTACCGGGGGGAGTTACTTCTCTGGAAGACATTTCAGTTGTTGGGATTGAAAGAGTTAGGGCAAGAACTGCAGCATATCTTATCTATCTTGTCTTTAGTTTGGGTTTTGCAGATTTCATTCAGCTTTGAAACAAACGCACTCTTTAACAGTACATCTGTCATCTCAGATTACGCGTAAGAGCTTTTGTCTTCCTGACGTTTTATGATCTTAAAAACAAATATCACATGTGTGCTTTTTTTCTCTTTTCTTTTTTTTTTTTTTTTTTTGTTGTTTACATAGTGGAGCCAGGTGTTGGGTGTGGGAACAGACAATTGCCAAGGGTCAATTCAGTGTTTATTCAGTGTTGCAATCCCCTATCGTTTCCCTCTTTGAAATTCTGGAACATCTCGAACTCTAGTAATTTCAGTAGCATCACTTTTTTGTTATATGGGAGGCTGTGTTTTGATCCATGGAAGTCACTGGGGAACTGGGAGGGGCCTGTTGGGCTCAGGAGGTCTGTCTTTTCAAGTACTGTCCCTGGGCAGAAAAGGCCATAGACACCACCAGAAAAAGGAGCAGGGAATGAAACTCTACTTGTTTACTCCTCTAAGCACAAGCAGACATATCTGATATATACATACTAGATTACTAACATAATTGCATTTCCATGCCATCTGTATTTACCAGCATCCTGGGATTGGTTCCCTCTAGAGAAACAGTTATTAAGGAAATTTCAGTTCTAGAGGAATGTCAATAAAGCATTTCCAAACCTGTTTAGCTGATGCCTTCTCACTGGATTATTGACTTTTCGTCATCAATTTCAATGTTCCCTCCCTTTAAAAATTAAGCTGTAGGCCTATAATACTCTGTCTTAATTCTTCCTGGTGGATGCAGACTTCAGGGATATGTGAGATATCCTGCCACTGCTACAAGAAGAGCTGGGAGTGGCAGGAGGATGAAGAAGTGGAACTGCCTTAGGAATAGAGTGTTCCCTGGATGCTGCAGCTATAGAGATCACTGGATAAGAATATCAGGGCTGAAGTCTCAGCCATACCACTAACTTGCTTCATGACCTTTGGTAATTTATGCTTTATTTGTTCATGTTTCTCCCCTGTAGAAGGGCTTATAATAGTGCCTGCCTCACAGGGTTGTTAGAAGTATTGATTGTTAATATGTATAAACCATCAGTGCATGTAAAGTATTATGTAAATATTTGTTAAGTAACAAAATAGAAGTGGTGTTTTACAACCGTACTCTTTCAAATTCAGATGTTGAAGCCCTGATGCCCTTATGTGCTAATATTAGAAGACAGGACCATGGGAAGTAATTAGGTTTAGGTGAGGTTATGAAGATATGGCCCCCATGCTGGGATAAGTGCCATTATAGCAAGAAATCAGTGAGCTTTCAATCTTTGGTTCTCTCTCCCTTTCTGCATTGTGAGGACACAGCAAGAAGGCCACCATCTGCAAAATGAGAAGAGGGCCCTCACCAAGCATGAAATCTGCCAGCATCTTAATCTTGGACTCCCCAGCCTCCAGAACTGTGAAATAATTGTTGTTTAAGCCACCTAGACTATGACATTCTGTTATAGCAGCTCAAACTGACTAAGACATTTACTAAACAGAAGCACTCTGATAAAGCCTTTTGAACACACACACACACACAAAGAAAGAAATATTTTCAGAGAAATATCTTCTAATTTATCTTTACAATTTTTCAACATCAGAAATTTTAAAGGAGGGTGTATTTATATCCTTATGGGCTCTTAGAATACTTTTTTGATCCATTGTTTGTTTGAAATTTTAGTTTCAATTACTTTCCATATAAAATGAGAATAAGAGTAAAATTCTACCCTATCCATTTTTCAGAAAAGATTTACGAAATGACTCTGCCTTGGGCATTAACAGCTACCTGCTCAGACTTCTTTATTTTGTGCCAAAGAACTAAAGAACAACATAAAACATCAGCTTATAATGATGGCCAGACCCATCCCAAAGTATTGATGTGAGTAAATCGAGTAAAATTTCTATTGCTACAGTAACAGCTCCCACAAAAGATGAGAAATTTCAAGAATCAGCCCAACATTTATAGAATTATGTATATTATTCCTGGAACTTCTTTACTAAATATTATTTGCTTTCAGAAGGGAAGTAGAATTCTTTTTTCTTTTTTTAATATACCACTTTCCATGATTTAACTTGCAACACCCCTAGACCAAGCTTCTGAAGTTTTTAAGAGCACCAGTGTTATAAAACTTACCATAACAAATTCCTTCTTGTCTTAATATGAGTTGAGAGCCACTGTTACAGGCACAAGTTGTAAACCCATGCAATTACTAACTCAAAGATACTATCTCTAAAATGGAAGCACAGTTTCCTAAATTCCATTCTCCCCTTTAATTTCTATTATATTTTTCAGATGTGACTAGTACAATCTAATAGACCTGAAAAATATAAATTTACTGCTCCATGCCGAGCACTGACATTCTTGCTACTTGGGCAGCAAAATGAGTGGTGTGGCTCTGCTTTACTGTGACTTGCCTCGAAGACTTTGCTGATATAACTTCCAACATAAAGCTTGCTCCTCTAGAGAACAGACTAGAAAGATAAATAAAGAAGTACAACTGATTTTAGAGATAGATCTGGTGGAGGTTGAGATACGGGGCTCTGGAATTACCGAATAGAAGACAGATAACACTGTTCTGATAAGACTTGATAGTCCTCACACTGTTTATGCTTAGCAACTCCTTTGCTTTCAGGTTTTCCTGCCACACACACAAAGTGGACAGTGGTGCAACCCCTTTGTTGTGTCTGACTCCATGAAGAAATACATAATTGATTTAGTTACATATTATGTGTATTTCTTATTTTTTTCACTAAAGAATTAAGGCAGTCTCTCAATGATCAGAACCTAGGAATACTTCATAGTATTATAAACATAGCAATTGACATGTTCTGTGGGGCTTTTGTGATTTTTTGAAAACTGTGGTTTATATTCATTGTGCTAAATTTCTCCTTACTGGCTCTGGCACCCCAGCTTTGGGTTGTGACCCTGTGGAAGAAAAATTCTTGCTTGACTGTGGTTCTTTAGTGGATTGCTTGTTAGCTCAGGGATTGTGGCCACCACTCATCAAAACAGGTGCTCTGGAGATAAAGCGCCAAAGGAAGAGAAGGCAAGTAATATTTATTCATTAGGTTCCAATTTTTTATTAGATGCAGTGCCTGAGTTTTTCAGTGTACTGTCATTTTAATAATTTCAAGAATGCTGGGAGTCTGGTATCATGAGTCTTATTTTATAGGCAAGGAAACTGGAGTACAAGATCTTAGAGGTGGAATTAAATTCAAACCCAAGACTGTCTGACTCAGAAGCTCATAGCCAGTCTTTCTCTAGACAAGGAAGTGATTGGGGAAGAAGAGGACATGTAAAAGAATCTTAATTAAGTCTACGGAGAATATTTTATTATTTTTCAACACTACAAGAAAATAATGCATTTATTAAAATATGTAATACAGTTTTGATCAGGAAGCAAACAGACATGTAGAAGTGACAACTAGTAGCCTCCAGAGCCCCAGCAGCCCAGAGAACCTCCTGCTTCTTGTGCCATCAGCCCCCAAATTCACTCCGTGAAGTTCCCAGCAACTCTCAACCCCATGTCAGAATCTGATATTAGGATTGAAGGCAGGCTGGGAGTGGTGTCTCACACCTGTAATCCTAGCACTCTGGGAAGCCAAGACAGGAGAATCACTTGAGGCCAGGAGTTCAAAACCAGCCTGAGCAAGACAGTGAGACCCTGTCTCTATGGAAAAAAAAAAAAAAAATTGAAGGCAGATGGTAGCATAGGTAAAGGATCTAGCTAAGCATCATACCTCTAGAAGCTCTCAAAGTATCTTAGAAGGCACTAATAAGAAGGTAGATACCACTATAAACTGTTAAAGCTTGGTCTGTCATCAAGATACTAGAGCAATTCTTCAATACATATAAACTACAAGTCATGATCCACTAGAGGGTCATAAAGTCAATTTTGTGGGTTGTAACCAGTATTTAAAAATTTAATGGGGCCGAGCGCAATGGCTCACGCCTGTAATCCCAGCACTTTGGAAGGCCGAGGTGGGCAGATCATGAGGCCAAGAGATTGAGACCACCCTGGCCAACATGGTGAAACCCTGTCTCTACTAAAAATACAGAAAAAAAATTAGCTGGCATAGTGGCAGGCGCCTGTAGTCCCAGCTAGTCAGGAGGCTGAGGCAGGAGAATCCCTTGAACCCGGGAGGCAGAGGTTGCAGTGAGCCGAGATTGCACCTCTGCATTCCAGTCTGGCGACAGAGCAAGACTCTGTCCCCCCCACAAAAAAAAAAGTATATATAAATATATGAATAAAATATAATAGGATTATAATAGGCTGGAATTTAAAAATATATATGCCATAATGCATCACATATTGTTAGTTTAACTGTTATCTTATAATACTTCTGTGTCTTATACAGATGGGTAACTGTAAAACAACACTTGGTGCACAAGATGTAAAAAAAGAACTTCCAGGAGTGAAAATATCCCTTCAGAGATGTTCTTATATTGATCGAGGCTGTGACTATATAATAAGTTCCAAGTTTGTAGACATTATCTGATGAGAATTTCCAATCAGGAAAAAAAGAAAGTTGAAGCATATTCCATTTTAATGTCATCACTCCCTAAAAGTTTGCACAACAGGCAGCTACAATAAATTGCTGAGCTTTTCCCAGCAGGAACGCCAGCT